GTATCCAAATCTTCTGTGCCCTAGACAACAATTTATGTCCCAAAAGTATTAAAAACACATAAGTTAATAACCTCATTGCACTGAGTGACATGTTCCTTCAATGCTGTAAAACACTGTAGCTTATTTTGATACCACATACACCATCCTGCTTCTGTAAATAAAGATCACTACATAGGTGTTCATTACTTCCTCCCGTTTGAGGTAGGTAGATATTTGTCACAAAATAACAAATTACATAGTGAAATTGAGTTTTGTAACTCCCTTCTGCTACATAGCAGACAATATGCATTAATACAGAAGCAATTAACGTTTAGTGGAAATTACATCGTCTTCAGTAGGCATGAATGGGCTGGTGGATGGGAACCGCAGACACAGTTGTACTGAGAAACAGACAAACACATTGTTGGTTGTGGTCATGAGATCTGTTGACAATAAGATCCTTATCCCTTTAAAGGTTGGTCATTTATTTGTGGTGATCATCTCCCTGGGTTAGTAGGAAGCTGCACTTTTAACAACTCAGCATTTCTGAGTACAGTCTAGAACGGGGAAAAATATTTCAGAAAGATAATCAATTTAATTGGGCAGCCAAATATGTCAAAACAAACAAAAGAAAATTATTGGGAACCAGTAAGTAGTTACTTTAAAAATTATATTTCAAATCATCCAAATCTACTTTCTGACATGTCTCGCGGGATGTGGAAATCGCCACCTGCATTTTGTACAACACTGTTTACCTGACACATATAGTACCATGTGCTGTAACCACATGTTAGGTGTGGTAGAAGTTTATACTGTAGTAAGTGCCACTCTGACTCTGTTTTAATCTCGTCACACAGCAAAAAGCCAAAGAGACCTCAGAGACAGAGGCAACAAAACAACCGACTAAAACCTCTGACTCTCGCCTACGACGGGGACACGGACATGTAGTCCTCCGGGAAACGCTTCACCGAGCACTTCACCTGTCATAGAGACCCACTTCATCACAGCCGTTACAGTGAGGGACATGGATGTTTGCAGCGTGAATGGACACGTTACAGAGCGGAGAAATTACAGACAATCCTCTTAGCAGAGACACTGGTGGGGTTTAACCATTTCAAGTAGAGCTCCATTCACTCCCCCTTTTGTTTTTTAACAGTATTTTCTTTTGCTAGAGCCTTCGTGACCTCCAATGCCTTTTTTTTGTTTGTTTTTTTTGGCCCCTACACGTCTACGTTTCTGTAAAGAAAAGACACATTTCAGATAACGGAAAAGCCGAGTGCAGAATACAGACCCGGCTGTCCTGCTGTCTCTGAACATGGCAGCACAAGCTCAGACTCTTCCCCCGCGCTTTTCTGCTTGTCCCTAAAAATGCTGAGTAGCTGGAGGCTTAGGATGCTCTGACGGTTTGTACGTTGCCAAAAGTCACCGCGGGGAAGAGGAGGAGGGAGAGGAAAATCTCCATAAAAAGGTTTGGATTCCTTTTTCCTCAATCCTCAACTGGGTTTTGACTCAAATCTCTTTTACAGTCTTGAACAAAAGGGAGGCATTTCTTCTCTTCTTTTTTTTTGTTGCTTGATTTAGAGGCACACAGGCCTGTGTTTGTGGGATAAACTGATCTGTGCGATGCTGATGGAGTAGCAGCCTACGATCAGTTCATGGAAACTACTGCCTGCCTGCCTCCACCCTTTCTTTGTTTCAGGCTCTACATTGCACTATATTAGTGCAGCATGATATGCACATGTGACTTCTATCTTCTATTGCCATAAAACACTGCCTCTTCCACAGACAAAACCATAAAGCAGAGGAACGGCTATAACGCAGGAAAACGACGATGTTTAGATGTGTCACATTCTACAAAACAGGTGTGAATCTCAAGTAAATATATGTATAGATTTTAGTTCTCACAACTGTTTTTTTGGTTGTAGTAAAGTACTTTTTGTGGTTTGTAGATTTCGTCTGGTGTTATCATTTTATTTCTGCCCAGATGCAATTAAAGATTTAACTATATCAGCAGGTGACTTCAAGCCACCTGCTTTTAAGTTCTTTTTAAATCATAAAAATTCTGATTAAATTCAAGTTCTTTACTTTTTCTTTATACCTACAGTAGTACGCTGTGGAAAATTGGACATTTTCCAATGATTAAAGAAAAAGACCAATACATCTTGTCATGCAAATGTAATTTCTGCCTTACTGACGCTAACTAAATACTAACAGTCCTGTAATAGAGTTTTTAATACTTGACTACAGCATACATTATACACCGTGAAGACTACATTTTCTTTTCTTTTGAGGTCACATAGCAAAGCATATGTCAGAGTTTTTAAAACTTCTCATGTAGTTATCCGTATCATAGGTGCTCTATCGTTTTTCACTCACACTACATGAGGTGAAATATAGTTTAAAAAAACAATCTGTAAAAACAAATATAATACAACATGTTAATAATAAGAGAACACGCTTCTGCTGAGTTCAACGTAAAAGCAAACTGGTGTGAAGAATGTTTACTTTTTTGTTGTGGGATTTGTAAATAACAGCAATTTTTTTTATTTTTTTGGAGAAAAAAAATATCAGAAGTTTGTGTACATTTATTTTGTATCGCACAGAAAATGTTTAGTTTGAATATTGCAAAGTGGGTGTGTGATATTGCTGATTGTTGTTATCATGATGCAAGCTGTGTGTTGTGGAGAAAAAAAAAAGGAAAGAAAAAAGATGAAAGGCTTAGCCCTTTTGTACAGGCTGTTTATATGTATGGGAAGAATTACTGACCAATAAATAAGGACCCGGTTGTAAACACACAAAGAAAGTTATTAAGCTGTTTTTTGTAATTTTCTTTATATGTTCACAAGAGAGCAGAATCCCTGAATAAAAATGTTCTAAACTGGCATTAAAGGACAAGATAAGACTTGTGTTTTCTTAAATATTTAATTGTAAACAAATCCCATAAGAAGACCAAACCAACAACGCGTTTGTTCGTCTAGCCCAGCTGAGTTTTAAAAGATTCTACTAACAATATATCGAATGATAGTCAGTTTTTAAAACACACAACATCAACAAAAACTCTTGTATATTCTTTTAAAGGAATTATATGTTAAATATTTTACAGTTAAAAAGAAACTTTGCTCTCTGGTTGGTGAACTGATGACTAAGTTACTTTAAAACTAATTTGGCATCTTAGTACTACAGTTTCTTTTTTAAGAAATACTTCCCTACCCTATTATCACAAATAGATACTGTTTTTTTAAAAGGGTCACTCATTTTCTTAAACAGTTGTAGTTTTTAACAAACATTACTCAAATGAATAGTGCATTTGGTGTCCCGGTGAGTATTCCACATGCGGGACTGACTTTCAGGCTTCGGCTACACTGGTTGTCTTTTTTAGGGGATTTGTTGTCAAGGAAAAAATATAAAACACCAGACTTATCCTTTAAGGTGAAAAACTGACTTAAAGAAGTTAAATAACTTCATATGAGCTCAAATCACCAGAGTGAGGACAATTTGGGGGTTTAATTTGATAATTTAAGGTTTATTTAAGAAGCTTGTCTACTAAGTTTTCAAATTGAGATTAAGTAGTGCAAGGTCTTCGTCAGGCAAACATGCAACACGCAACATGTTTGTCTGATGAAGACCTTGCAGGTTGAAACATTGCACTATTAAAAACTTGGGCACTTAGTTTGCTGACACTCTCATTTTCTGTTGTTACTGTTCTTTCCCTCCTGCACCTGTACCCAAGTGGTTGGATCTGCACACTAATTACAACCTCTCAGCCTTTAAAACAGAATAACATCTTCTGTGGCTCTGGGGGTGCTTTGTCAAGTCAGAATTTCTCAAATGGCATAAATGGAGTCATTTTCAGCTTAAAGACTACACATTTTACCCACCATGTCTACGTTACAAACTGGGGGTATGGCATTTAAAAGATGTTGGTTTTCACCAGGCTAGGAGGAGCCAACAAAAGACGCTATCACATTGCATTATGGGAAGTGTAGGACCCAGTGTTTTATAAGCTTGACCCATTTAAAGGACAAAAAGTCTCCACTGCTTTGCTTTTGACTATTTAAAATTTTTCTCAGAACACAATAATCTAGGCGAACGCGATAATAAATCGCACAAGTCCTATGTTTGTCTGTTATTGATTAGGTTTGGCAATTGTGCACAAACTATATTATCAGTTATTAACTATATTATTAAATGCATGGCATTATTTTTCCAGTGCAAATTTAATTATTGATCCTGCTTTTAAATGTTCACTTAAAGCTATGTCAGGTAATTATGTTGATTCTGCATTTATGGCATTTGTGTTGAAGTTTGTTCAACAGTTACATTGAACATCTGTATTTTTGATTTTTTTTAAATACAATAACCAAACAATGTCTAAATGTATTATATAATAAAGTATTTTTTGATGTGTCACAAAAACAAGACCCACTTAAACCTGATTTACAAAAAATGTGACTAAATTAGCGCAAGTTATTTGGCATAAAAAGTTCAGTAACCTTACTTACATCTGAGTGATGAGTAATTCTTAGAAATTGTGATAATAAGATGTTATTTAAAGCTGCAACATGTCAATAAGACAATTAAAAACTACCAGTAATGTAATACAACTTTTAATACCTCAACTGGGCACATCATGACATAAAAAGGGCTAAATCTTTCTTTCTTTTTGGTGGTCACAGAGCTGTGACGAGTTCATGTGTAGTGACTGTCGGGTGCCACCTCAGCATTCGATCAACAGGGCAGCTTCATGTATCTCACTGATGTTTTTACAACATCTGATGTAATGGAAAAAAGCAGCCACTAGATGTCAGGCCCTGACGTTGCTAAACGAAAAGTTGCTTCTCAAAAGTCTATAATGTCAGCTTCCTTGCATTCTCCACCTTTCTCCTCTCTCCCTCCCTCCTCCTTCCTCACTCACTCTATTTGTCTCTCCATCCCTCAACCCCACACTCCCTCTCTCTCTCTAAACCTCAGAGCGGGCTATATAAAACATCCCTCCATCCTGACAGTCAGATGTGCAAACACCTTGCTTCTCGACACAGCGCCTACAAACTGTGCATCAAAAATCACCCCAGTAAACACTTGAGCCGATTTAACAGCAGACATCTGACCCTCCTGAATGAGCCTGAGAAGATTCATCTCTGCTCCCTCGCCTCAGGACCGCCTCCCTCACTCTTTATTTATCCTCAAGTTCGGCAGCTGATACTGGCTCAGTCAAAAGGAGGGTTTCTTTTCGCAGCTGAGAAGACCAAGGGCAGTTTGACATGAGGGGAGACGCTCCACAAAGAGGCATGAAGACCACATGTCTGTGGGCTGCTGCTCTTCTGCTGTCAGTCATCTCTCTGGTGAGTTAAATTTCATTTAGATTTTACCTTTTTATTTTCACGTCATGTTACACCTCTGTGATTAATGTTTGCACTTGTCTGGTAGCAGGAATCCTGAGCAATGTTCGCAAACAGACATTTTGATAAATGAGTTTCAGGTAGTTCGAGGACAACAGGACCTCACAGTGTAAAAAAAACAAGCAACATTTTAGTCTGAATTTATTGCTGCAAGATCATGATGGACATGCAATCTGATAATGTGATACTAGAAATGTCATTTTGTTGATTTCTTCCAATTAAGACTCTGTGCTTTGGTGGAGTTAAAGGCATGTGTTTTTATTGTCTTCCTTGAATTTGAGTCCTGTAATGATAAATCTCACCCTGACAAACCAGATTTGTAACTGCTCCAAGCATTGGCTGATTAGTATCTTCACAAATTAACAAATGTCAGTGTGAACACAGGCTCCCCAAATCCAAATCTGCATCTTGACAAATCCACCCGCTCTCAAATATCCCGCTGGATATTTTTCTCTCAGCACTATCCATTCAATCCTTCCTCCTTCTTCTTCTTCTTCCTCCTTTCTCCCATTTACAAATGCAGTTCAATAAGAATATATTTGACATTACAGCATAGAACAGCCTGAGCCCATTATGACAAACACACCAGAATGCTCCTAACTCAATGCCTTGACAGTTTGTGACAACCCAATTCCTTTAATCCTCGGAGAGACAGTAACCCCTCACCCACTGATAAATCTGTCAACAAAGCAATCAAAGCAGAACAGGAGCCACTCCTCTCTCCAACAAAAATTCCATAAACTTAATCCCCACAAACTTGACTGGCCTTAAAAAGCTCCTGTGGTGTTATCTGTGTTTAATTTGCATAGTGATGGAAAGAAGTCAATTACTATTAATTATTCTCTACAACTTAATACCCATTATCGAATTGAATTCACCGTCTTGAAAACCATAAACTCAATTTCACAGCTGACTAAGCGCACTAATCATTTCACCCCCCTCCCTTTTTTTCACTTTATGAAGCCTTCTTGCTCTGAAGGAACACAACAATTCTTCGATTTCAGAAGCAATAACGTTAACTTACATGGATTCTCCTATTGTCACAATATAAAGACAAGCATTAATCAGTAAGTATGTGACTTACATGTACAATAGCGTCATGGTAGTGCGAGCTGATCTCATAGCATCACTTGATGGGGGTGTTTTTTTCTCCAGACTGAGCTGCCAAATTGCTTCGCTATGCTTTAATGGGATGATCATAATTGTTTCGTACTCGGTGCATCCTAAGCTTTCGCCTGCAGCTCCTTCAACAGATTGACAGACCCATGGGAACCTCACAAACTTATTTTGGCCGCCTTTGAACCAAGTCGTGTGTGAAATAATATGATTATGCATTTTTCCTCTGGGTAAGTTGAAAAACTGGTGGCTAGGTCCCCCCACACCCCCACCCCAACCTCCTCCTCCTTCGTTTTCTTCAAAACTGCCCAACTCTAATATCCTGCAGTCTGTCCGCGTACAGTATTTATCCTCCTCAGAAGTCATGGTAATAATTGTGCCCAGGCCTCTCAAAGCGGTGCTGCAGTGATAGGACTCGGCTCCATCCACAGCTGCCTGTGATGTCTTAACACACTTTGTGATTTGTCGTCATCTCTGAACCCCCTCAGGTAACACTTTGATATCTCTGCGAGAATATAGACCTAAACTCTTGATGGGGGCATCAAATGCCCTTAGTTGATCCATCAGCTCAACTACGCTGGGACCTCATATGGCGAGACAAGTTAGATTCTCTGTAAATCACTATGACGACAATCATATCCCAAGCGCCCAGTTGGACGGCATCAACCCACTGAGGAGTTTTAAACTAGCTTCCTGTCTAGACGAACACTTCTATCAAACACCGAAAAGTGGGTCCAAATTGAAGCAGATATTTTTATACACCAATATATTTAGTTTTTCTTCTTGAACTCTTCTTGTTGAGAGTATTTTGGTAGAAGTACTTGTGATTCATGGCATCCGAAACTCAGAAATTAGATTAAAATAAGCTTTTGCTGGGAGTGGTGGAGCGAGACGTTAGATCTCATACCCGAAAGGTCACAGGTTTGATCCCACGACAGCCACATGTCCATGGGCCAAACTCTAACCCTTAATAGCTCCTCACACTTTAAGCCTCTCTGGATAAGAGCATCAGTTTAATACCTTACATTTAAAAAAAAAAAGTAAATAAATCCGCAAAACTTTTGCAGTGTCGTGTCTATGCACAAAAAACATTAAAAGGACAAGTACTCTTAATTTCTGAATGTTGCAGCGGAACACACACCATCCAATCAAGATTGTAAAGTGGCTGCCGAAATCTGCTATCAGCCCGGTCCCTCTCCATCCTCACTCTGTTAAACTAGAACTGTCGCACTCACAAATCCTCCCCACACAGCAGCCGCAGCATTCAGGTAAATGAAAACTGACACACACTTTCATTCTTCCCTGCAAGGTTTTGTGTACAGCCCACCGCCAAGTCATCCGGTGGATCTATTAAAGGTGGAATTTGTTGGCTGTTCGGGGGTCCAGCCCATAGAACATCCTCTGAGCTCCCGATGGAAGCCGGGGGGGTGTTTATCTTCCTGTTTCAAAGAGCGGACGCCTGCGCCTTATCACAGCCTCGCCAAGAGTAGATAGCATTTAGGTTTGTCCAACAGCCGGCATGCATGCTGCATCTGGCAATCTAAGAGTTGTTTCCTAAAGGACTTCTGCATACCGATGCTGTTTGTGTTATCTTGTTGAGGGATTCTGCCTCATACAACGGTATGTTAACAGACTAACCGTCTGTTAATATTATTCCCAGGTTCGGTGGGGTTTGGGTGGTGGGAGACCCGTGCACAACAACTGCAGGTCAAAAAGTTGGGAAAACTCTAAGCCATGAAATGAAAGCCTTTAAATAAGATTGGGAGATACTGTTGAATATCTTTGAATGAAAACACCAGATTAAATATATATTGCAAATAAATATTTTTTATATTACTGCATTTTCACAGGGCTTTGACCGATATGACTTTCTGTAAGTTGGTGTATTTGCTTGGATAAAAAGAGGCACTCCAACCTGCACTACAAACTGTACAAATGGACTTTGAGAGACTTTGACTGGGCATGTAGCATCTAAAGATGCTTTTGTTTGAATAACGGGAGATATAGGAGCTAGACCGATGATGCGCACAAAACAAAGTACACTGAGGATAACAGATATTGTTTACTTTTATTAAATATAGTTTAAGCTCCTGAAAACTTGGTGTCAAATCTCAAGTATTTCTCCACAGCAACTATTATAAACATATCTAAATGCACAACAATCAGAAAAATGTTTATTGTTTTAAGAGTGTAACAGTAATGTGCAGGACTGGGTGGTTGTAATTTGATCAGATTTGATGGTGGATTGGCAACATGAAAAAACAACCCAACAACTGACATCACATTTTGATTAAAATGTTGCTAAATTCTGATTGGGGCACAGAAATACACGACATCAGCGTTTTCCAACTGAGCCCCGCCCACTTTAATTGAGCGAGAAGAGCTCAGTAATACAAAAATTACACAAAATCTCTCATGAGAAATAAGCATGTGTGTTCAAACTTCGGAAGTAAATGTGGAGCCCATCACTTATACTATTAGGCTGATTGCCCATTGGTTCCTACTGAAGACAAAAAGCAGGTCACAAATCAGTCATTTCCTAAAAGAGATGGACGCTGTAGTTTTCAGAAAACGTTACTTAAACAGGAGTAAATAGTACATTTGATGAGGCCTACTTTGAGTGAGTGTTTCTGGTAGCAGGACGGGGACTGAGTCAAAATAAACTACTGCAGTGTGTTCATGGCGAAGGAACATGTCACCCAGTGCAACAGTGTGGCTCATCAATGTGTTTTTAATAGTTTTTGAGCAACAACGGAGGAATAAGATATATTAACCTTTGTATACAAACACAATACTTGTTAGTAGGATCCGTTCACTGTTGGTTTTCATTTTCGTGGGATTTGTTGACAGTACGAAAAATACAGAATATCAGCAGACTTTTCCTTTAAGAGTCTGAAGATAGTTTAATATTGTACAGAATATGAAACCAATGGTTGCCAGGGTGAGTGTTGGTATTTTTTTCTATGTAATAGTTGCTATGAATAGATAATAGTACTCTCTCCCAGGAGTGAACATTATGTACAGCATCTTCCTTTTTGTTGCCATTATTATTATTTCTGGCCCACTGCAAGTTTGTAATTATACATACATTATGTATGAATGTGTGTGTGTGCATATATACACATGCACTGCATATATACATATACAGATTTCCTCTACAGTGTTTCTATATCTTAAGCATAATAATTAAGTGTATTTACATAGTACTTATTAAAATCATTGATTACTAAATGCATTTATCTTTTTACTGTAAATATTGCCACACATTGTCCCCTTGTGGAGTATTAGACTGTGTTATTCTCCGATTGGTCCACCCTGAGTGTGAGTGGTAATTGTGCAGATCACCACCTGAGTGATAGGTGACTTTATGTCTATATTAGGTCTGCAACTAATGATTTCTTTCATTATCGAGATATACATACACACACATACACGCACACACACACACACAAATATATATATAAATACAAAATGTCAGAAAAATTTGAATTTCCTTACGTTCAAGTGTACGTCTTCAAATTAATTGTTTTGTCCGACCCAAAACCCAAAGATATTTAAGTTATTATCACAAAAGACAAAGAAAGTTTCCCCATTTGCAACATTTTTTTTGCTTGAATAATGATTAACACTTAATCTATTTTCAAAACCGTTGCAGATCATTTTTCGACTAATGGATTAATCGACTATCGAATTGTTTCAGCTTTATATAATGTCTGGTGAAGATGAAAATAGAATTGACAGTACAGTGTGCATGTTTTCTTGTGTGACTTCTCAGATGAACATTTTACAACGTATTCATGATTTGAGTTAAATTAGCTAAAACATGC